ACAGTGAGAGGGCTCCTGGTGTCCTGGCCCCGCTGGGGGACCTCCTGATGGCCCCTGGTATTTCTGGCCACTGTGTGATACAGAGTGTTGGACTGGATGGGCCTTTGGCCTGATTCCAACATTGGCATCTCTTATGTTCTTATGTATAAATCCAATCTCTTCGTCTTCTCTTCTAGTTCTAGCACAGGGGTGGCCAAACTGCGGCTCAGGAGCCCATGCGGCTCTTTCACACGTATTGTGCGGCTCCCGGCAGGGCGGCTGGGGAAGCGAAGGGGAGGTGTGTTCCCCCTCCCTGGGTAGGCTTGAGGTGGGGGGAGAGCAGAGAAAGAAAGCCACTTTAACTTTAAATGCATTCTCAGAGCACACACACACACACACACACACCCCGGGCCGGCTTGGAGAAAGCACTTGTCTCTTTAAATATCATCATCAATATCTGTTTTTACCCCTTTTGTTGTTGTTTTTCCTGGCAGTCTTATTTAATGTTGCTGTTAATAAAAAGCAAATTTGCATGTTTTCCAAATAGAAACTTGTGCAATATTTGTCCGTGTCTTGCGGCTCTCGGACAGCTGAGGTTTCTTCTGTGTGACTCTCGCGTTCAGCAAGTTTGGCCGCCCCAGTTCTAGAATTTTTGGTGAGGGAGAAACAGTTCTCTTTGTCCGCTCTCTCCACCCCACGCGTAATTTCGTACACCTCTATCAGTGTTCCCTCTAAGCTGAGTGAGTGTGAGCTAGCTCACAGTTTTTTAGCCTCTGGCTCACCCATTTTTGCCTCGGCTCAGGAAGGATGACCTCCAGAGCAAACCAGTTGATGCAGCAGCCAAATGGCTCGCTCACAATTTTCATGCTAGTAGGCTCACAAAGTAGAATTTTTGCTCACAAGAGTCCACGGCTTAGAGGGAGCATTACCGATCACCAGATTATGCTGTTGACTGATGGCCGCCAGCGTTTAATAATCGGCTTAGTAAAGGTAAAGGTTCCCTTGCTCGAAAGCCAGTCGAGTCCAACGCTAGGGTTGCGGTGCTCATCTCCGTTTCCAAGCCGAAGAGCCAGCGCTGTCCGAAGACACTTCCGTGGTCATGTGGCCGGCATGACTCAACACCAAGGCACACGGAATGCTGTTCCCTTCCCACCGAAGTGGTCCCTATTTATCTACTTGCAATTTCTTGTTTTCGAACTGCTAGGTTGGCAGGAGCTGGAACTAGAGACGGGAGCTTACTCCGTCATGCGGCACCCGGGTCTCGAACTGCCAAACTACCAGCCTTCCACAGCCTGCAGTTCAGCGTCTTAACCACTTGAGCCACCGCAGCTCCTAATAATCGGCTTACTTTAGTAGTATTTAATGTCTATAGCACCTTTTAATGTTGCAGTGTTTTAGATGTTTCTGACTGTTGAGATTGTTATCGATGTGCTTATTCTCTTACGTGAGCCGCCCTGAGCCGGCCTTGGCTGAGAAGGCGGGGTACAAATTCGATAAATGCGTAAATAAATAAATAAAATTGCCTTTCCAGAGTCTTGCCAAGACCAAGACACGAGCAGAGGTGCACGGTGGCGGCAGGAAACCCTGGCGGCAGAAGGGAAGCGGCCGGGCCCGGCATGGCAGTATCCGCTCGCCATTGTGGCGTGGGGGTGAGTAGTGACTCTTTGTTACCGGTAGATCCTCCGGATTCGGTGCAGCGGCACCTTAAGAAACCAACAAGATCTTTAGGGAGTAAGCTCTCCGAAAGTCATTCTGAACGTGAGCTTTCCGAAAAGCTCCTGCCCCGAAAATCTCGTTGGTCTCTAAGGTGCTACTGAAGAAGAAGAGGAGGAGGAGATTGGATCTATACCCCGCCCTTCACTCCCCAAGGGTGTCTCAGAGCGGCTTACAAACTCCTTTCCCTTCCCCTCCCCACCACAGACACCCCCTGTGAGGCAGGTGGGGCTGAGAGAGCTCTGACAGAAACGGCTCTTTTTCAAGGACAGCTCTGACAGAACTACGGCTTGCCCAAGGTCATCCAGCAGGTGCAAGTGGAGGAGTGGGGAATCAAACCCGGTTCTCCCAGATTAGACTCCGCGCACTTAACCACTACACCAAATTGGCTACTGGACTCCAGTTTAGCTGTTCTACTGGAGACCGACACAGCTACCCTCTGAAACTTTGTTTCTGGTAGTAATCGGGGATGTCAGTTTCTTAGGCCCGGCGGACAGCCGTGACCTTGTCGGTGGAACGTGGGCGGCCCAAGGCCTGTCCTGACACGCACACCCCGCCTGTGTCCAGTTTCCCTGTGACTTCTCTGGTCCCCCCTCTTGCTTTCTCCTAGGTGGCGTGGCCCGCGGCCCCCGCGGCCCCACCAGCTACTACTACATGCTGCCCATGAGGGTGCGCGTCTTGGGCCTCAAAGTGGCGCTGACGACGAAGCTGATGCAGGTACCGCAGCCACGTTTTATTCCATTATCTCTGGAGGCGGCCTGATCTTTAAAGGGCTCGTTCTTGGCTGGGTTTTGCAGGGTTTGGGACGTGGAAGGTCCACAGACTTACGTTTGTAGCCAAGGATTTTTAATTCAGGGGGCCTTTAAATAAGTCAGGGGGCACCCTGAAACACCCACCCTAAGCGAGCAGCCCTGCTCCCGCCCTTCCCTGCCACCAGCCAGGTGTCAGGGGTCCTGGGTGGTAAGTCGGGGGGACAGGCCCCGAGGGTCCCCACTGTAGCTACGGGCCTGTTTGTAGCCGCCTGACAGCGATAAGACGAAGAACGATTGTTCCCAGCTGCAGCTTGGTAAGACAGGCAGCATTCTTCTGCTGGAGGGAAGAGGTCGAAATCAGAGCGGGGGGGGAGGG